TGTCTCTATAGATTTGCCTATTCCATATAAATGGAATCATACATTTTATAGCCCTTTATTTCTGGCTTCTTTCACTTAGCATAATGTTTTCAGGGTTCATCCATGTTGTAGCATTTGTCACAACTTCATTCCTTTCTATGGCCACATTTTGTTGATGCATCAGTTGATGGACATTAGGGCTGTTTCTACTCTTGGCTATCATGAATAATACTGTATGAACATTTGTGAACAAGTTTTTGTGCTAACACATGTTTTTAGTTCTCCTGGGTGCAAACCTAATTAATAGCTAATCGCTATCCTACACTTAATATTTCAAAAAACAAATCTTGTGCTTCCCTGACAAACCTGTTCTGCCTGCACACTTCTCCAGTAAATGAATAGCATTTTTCCAGGTGTATACATTAGTGTGCAAGTATACATTTTTGTGTGGATGCAAATTTTCAGCTCATCTGGGTAAACACCAAGGAGCATGATTGTTAGATCATATGGTAATAGTATGTTTTGTAAGGAACTTCCAAATTGTCTTCTAAAGTGGCTATACAATTTGCACTCCAGCATGCATGAATAACAGTTCCCATTACTCTATGTTCTTGTCAGCATTTTGTGCTGTCAGTGTTTCAGATTTTAGCCATGCTAATAGGTATGTGGTGGTATATCATTGCTTTAATTTATAATTCCCTAATAAAATCTTTTCATATGCTTATTTGCTATCTGTATATCATTTTTGATGAGGTATCTGTTCGGATATTTTGCCCATTTTTTTTTTCTCCAAAGATTTTTTTTTTTTAGTTGTGGTAAAAAATATGTAACATAAAATTTACAACTTTAAGCATTTTTAAATGTATGGTACAGTAATGTTAACTATACATACATTGTTGTGCAACAGATCCCTAGAACTTTCTCATCTTGCAAAACTGAGACTCCATTTCCCCCGCCAACCCAGTCCTTGGTAACCACATTCTACTTTCTGTTTCTCTGAGTTTGACTATTTTGGATACCTCATATAATTGGAGCCACGCAGTGTTTGCCTTTTTGTGACTGGCTTATTTCACTTTGCATAATTCCCTCAAGGTTCATCTATGTTGTAGTATATGACAGGATTTCCTTATGTTTAAGGCTGAATAGTGTTCTAATGTATGTATACACCACATTTTCTTTAGCCATTCATCTGCCAATAAACATTTAGGTTGCCTCCACCTCTTGGTTATTGTGGATAGTGCTACAGTGAATGTGGACATGAAATATCCTCTTCTAGAGCCTGTTTTCAATTCTTTTGGTATTGTTGAGTTCTAAGAATTCTTTGTATATTTTGGATACCAGTTCCCTTATCAGATATGTGTTTTTCATATTTTTTTCTCCTACTCTGTGGCTTGTCTTTTCATTCTTTTATCAGTGTCTTTCAAAGAGCAGAAATTTTTAATGAATGAAGTCCAACTTACTGATTTTTTTCTTTCATGGATCGTGCTTTTGGTGTATTTTTTTAGGTCACCTAGATTTTCTCTTAATATGTCTTCTAGAAGTATTATATGTTTCATATATTATACTTATATATTATAAGTATATATAATACTTTCTAGAAGTATTATACATTTAGATCTAAGATCCATTTTGAGTTAATTTTTTGTGAGAAGGGTAAGGTCTTTCAAAACAGAAAGCACTAGGCCCAGATGAGTTCACTGGTGAATTCTACCAAACATTTAAGAAAGAAATTCCCTAAAATCAATTTCAGAGGATAAAGACAGAAGCAATACTCCCTAACTCATTCTATGAGGCCAGCATTTCCCTAATACCAAAACCAGACAGACATTACAAGAAAACTACAGACTAGTATCTTTCATGAACATAGATGTAAAATCCTCAACAAAATATTAGCAAATCAAATCCAAAAAAGTATAAAAAGAATTATACACCACAACCAGGTGGGATTTGTTTCAGGTAGGCAAGGCTGGTTCAACATTCAAAAATCAATTAATATAACTCATCATATAAACAAGCCAAAGAAGAAAAATCACATGATCATATTAAGAGATGCAGGAAAGCATTTGACAAAATCCAACACCCATTCATGATAAAAATTCTCAGTAAACTAGGCATAGAGGGGAACTTTCAATTTGATAAACTCTACAAAAATCTACAGCTAACATCATACTTAGTGGTGACAAACATGAAACTTTCCCACTAAGTTCAGTTATAAGGCAAGGATGTCCCCTCTTGCCACTCCTTTTCAACATCATACTGGAAGTCCTTGCTAATTCAATAAAGCAAGAAAAGTTAAAAGTATACAGATTGAGAAGGAAGACATTAAACTTTCTTTTTTCACAGATGACACGATCATCTATGTAGAAAATCCAAAAGAATCAACAAAAAAACTGGAGGGCTTGCCGAGTGGCGCGTTGGTTAAGAGCTGGCTTGGGACGCCAAAGGGCCCCAGTTCACATCCCACATATGAGGGCCAGTGACACTGCCCTCTACAGCTAAGATGCTGAACAACAGCTCAACCTGGAGCTGGGCTGCCGTGAGTCACCAGCGAAGGCGCAGGCTGCAGCCCCTGCTGCAGTACGTTGCCATGGGCTACCGTGTGTAGCCAGCAGCCAGCGTGAGCGGCCCTCAAGCCGCCGTGAGCCACCGTGAGCCATCGTGAGCGGCGACTGATCTGCCTTGCCCGGGAAGAGTGCAATGATGGTGCCAACTTGGGCCAGTGAAGCAACGTCCTCCACAACTAGACTGAAGAACAAAAGGACAGCAATTTGTCTGTTCTCCTTCCCCAATTCCCCAATAAAAATTTTTAAAAAACAAAAAAACAAAAACTGGAACTAATGAGCTGTTATAGCAGGGTTGTAGGATACAAGGTTAATACACAAAAGTCAACTGCTTTCCTATATACTAACAATGAATAAGTGGAAATTGAAATTAAAAACATAATGCCATTTACATTAGCAACCCCCAAAATGAAATACTTAGGTATAAATCTAACAAAATACATTCAAGATATGTATGAGGAAGACTACAAAACTCTGATGAACAAAATTAAAGAACTAAAGTGGAGAGATATTCCATTTCCATGTTCATGGATAAAAAGACAATATTGTCAAAATGTTAGTTTGTCACAAATTAATCTATAGATTCAATGCATCCCAATAAAAATTCTAGCAAGTTATTTTATGGATATTGACAAACTAATTCTAAAGTTTTTATGGAGAGGCAAAGGACACAGTGTATGGAAGAACAAAGTTGGAGGACTGACACTACTCAAGTTCAAGACTTACTATAAAATTGCACTAATCAAGACAGTGTAGTTTTGGTGAAAGAATAAATAAATAGATGAAACAGAATGGAGAGCCCAGAATTAGACCCCTATAAATATAGCCAACTGATCTTTGGCAAAGGAACAAAGAAAGTATCTTCAACAAATGATGCTGGAACAACTGGACATCCACATGCAAAAAAATTAATCTAGACACAGACCTTACACCCTTCACAAAATTAATTCAAAATGGATCATAGGCTTAACTATAAAATGCAAAACTATAAAACTCCTAGAAGATAACATAGGAGAAAACTTGGGTATGGTGATGGCTTTTTAAGATACAACACCAGAGGCATCCATGAAAGAAATAATTGTTAAGCTGCATTTCATTAAAATTAAAAATTTCTGTTCTGCAAAAGACAATATGAAGAGAATTAGAAGACATGCCACAGACTAGGAGAAATATTTTCAAAAGACACATCTGATAAAGGACTGTTCTTTAAAATATACAAAGAACTCTTAAAACTCAACAATAAGAAAACAAACAACTCAAAAAATGGGCCAAGGACCTAAACAGACACCTCACCAAAGAAGATATAGAAATGGCAAGTAAGAATATGAAAATATACTCCACATCATATGTCATCAGGGAAATGCAAATTAAAACGAGGTACCACTACACACTTATTAGAATGGCCAAAATCCAGAAAACTGAAAACACCAAATGCTGGTGAGGATGTGGAGTAACAGCACGTCTCATACATTGCTGGTGGGAATACAAAATGGTACAGCCACTTTGGAAGGCAGTTTGGCATTTTGCTACAAACATACTCTTACCATACAATCCAGCAGTTCTGCTCCTTGGTATTTATCCGGAGGAGTTGAAAACTTCTATTCACACAAAAACCTACACACAAATGTTTGTAGCAGCTTTATGCATAGTTACCAAAACACGGAAGCAACCAAGGTGCCCTTCAGTAGGTGAATGGATAAATAAACTGCTGGCACATTTAGACAATGCAATATTATTCCGTTAAAAAGAAATGAGTTATCAAGCCATAGAAAGACATGGAGGAATCTTAAATGCATATTACTAAGTGAGTGAAACCAAGCTGACAAGGCTTTTTACTGTATGATTTCAGCAATATGACAGCCTAGAAAAGGCAAAACAATGGAGACAAAAAGATCAGTAGTTGCGGGGGGCGGGATGAACAGGGAGAGCACAGAGGATTTTTAGGGCAGTGAAAATACTCTGTATGATATTATAATGATGGATACCTGTTATACATTTGTCAAAACCTATGGAACGTACAGCACCAAGAGTGAACTCTAATGTAAACTGGATTTTGGGTAATAATGATATGTCAGTGTAGGTTTATCCTTGGTAATAAATGTACCATTCTGATGAATGATGCTGATAATGAGGGCGGCTATGCATATGTGGAGGCTTATCATTTCCTAATCAAAACTGAATCTTTTTTTGATATGCATAGCCTCTTGGAATAAAAATACCAGTGGAAAATTGACGTCTTGGCCCACCAGCCCAGTGTTCTGCCTATGACAGCAAGGGTCATTTTATGGGAGAACAGAATGGTATCTACTTGAAAGATTATAACCTGATTTTGAAATGTACTTTTCCAAACACTGCTCAAGGCTTTTATCATTTTCTACATATCGATCAGCATAAATTACTGACATTTCCCTCTGACAATGCATTAATTACTTTTGATCTTTGCTCTGTCTGTGGTCCTAGGTTGGTTCATTCTGGCTCTGGATGTCGATCACCCTCACTTGGATCTGACCTTACATTTGCTACCAGGACAGGGTCTCGGCAAGGCATCGAGATGCATCTCTTCAGGGTGGAAACACATCGGGATCTGTCCACCTGGACCAGGGTACTTGTTCAGGGCTGCCATGCTGCTGCTGAGCTGATCAAGGAAGTGTCTCTAGGTATACAGCCTGCCATCTCATTTCTAATAGTAATTAAATGGAACTGTTATATGTACTTTGTTTTAAAGTAAAAACCGTTGTCGTGTGTGCCAGACATAAAAATGTTCTGAAATACGGCAGCTTAGAGTGATCATGATAAAACAAAACAGGTTTCTCTGTTTCAGCAGCAAAGCTTTCCTAAGCCTTGTATTTGGTTCTGAACACACTCGTAAAACCCTGGGTACAAGATGGCGGTTTTGCTGTTCCATCATTTTAATCTGTATTTAATAGCGTAAGGACTCATTTACTAAGCATCAGATGCATTGACCTTCTAGTTAAGAAGATTTGGAATCTAAGATATGAATAGACCCTTAAAATAAGAGCATCTGCAAAGCTTGTGGTAATAGAAAAATAAAGAATAGGAATTTCTCTTCAAAAGTTTGAAAATGTGTGCCTAATGCTGAAATAAGCATCTAGAGGAAAAAGTCTGGTGGTCTCTTTCCATTCTTAAAGCGCCCTCTTGTGGTTAGTCTGTATGAATTTGGGGGTATGGTTTCAGATGTATGTATTTGTGTGTATGTATTATGTACTACAGACACAGGGTGCCAAAAAAATGTATAGACATTTTAAGAAAGAAAAAAAAACTATTAAAATTATAATACTCAACATCTACCGACAACAAAAGATGAAAACAAGTCATGTGTATACATTTTTTTGGCACCCCCAGTATACGTATAGACATTTCCAGATTGTTTTTCATTTTAACAAGAACAGAGAATAGTCAAAATGAAGATACAATTACAGTTTCTAATATGATTAGAATTACTTGGTTGTAAGTTGGTTTACTTAATTTTGCTTCTATGATTTTATTTTATAAACCTAGTTTTAACAGAATTGATATAAAAAGAGAAAATCTTTCAAGAGCAGAATGTCTTATGATTTATCTTTCTTTCAGTTGCTTTTTTGAAAGTGAGGGAACTCTGTGGGCAGCATTTCTATGGGCCATCATCTAACAGTGGCCCAGGGACAGTTTTTCAGTATTGTCAGAATGACAGCATTTCTTTATCTATTTAGGATCTGCTCGCTATTTTCTTCACAACCACAATGTTGATTCAAGCACTGACACCAATGACTAGTAAGAGCCCACCATGGATTTTGACCAAAGCCACTACACCCACACTGTCTTTCTCACTTGTCTATCTCCTGCCTGTTTTCTCTGTTGAGTGGTTGGTCACCACATTAAGGGCTGTGCGGCTCTGGTTTTAGTCTTGGCCACGGAATGTGCTTTCTTGGATGATCAAGTCCTCATGCAGGTCTGCGATGCTCTGTGTTCCTGTGGGTGTGGGGAGCCCGGGGGGTCAGGGCAGCACACTCAGGCCCTCCACAGGCATCTGAGGGTCATCATATCTTCTTCAAGGATCCAGAGAGACATGCTTCCCAAAACAAAGTGTGCAGCTTGGATTTTTCACATTTTTTAGTTTCATGTTGTTTCTGTAGTGTCTGGCAGCTAAACTTCACATTGCAGGAAATAAAAATCTATCCAACCTCTGACTCACAGTTGTTTAAATGCAGATGGCTTGAGGAGAGGGAGAATAAGGACTGGCTGGTTCTTTGTATTTTTAAATAGACAAAAGAAACATTTTTAGGTAATTTTGAACTTTTTTGTTCTCATTCACAGCTGTGTTTTAATATTGCCTTAGTAATACTTTCATTTCCATAATTCAGGTCAACTGATATATTGTACCTATTTGTCACATACTCTGTATTTAGAGCTGTGACAGACATATTAAACTGGCTGAAGGTAAACGTTTTGATGAGAGCTAGAGTTTTTTTAAAATGTGTATGTGTACTCGTGTGCACACACTTCGTCTGTTATGTCTTAATATGTGTATGCTTAGGGTACACATACACATACATACATACCTAAGGCAGCATGTCCTTCAGATACATGTTACCACCTTCTGTTAAATTATTGGGAGCTTCAGAATAATTGTGGCACATTGTGATATTCATGGCCTAAAGAAAGTCAGGAAGTTGACAAAAAGAAACCAATTAAGCTCTATTTCTTGTCTCTTATGTGTTTTGGTTATAGTTTATCCATTCAGAAAAATTCCAGTGAGTACCTACAAGATTTGACTAGTGAATGCAATACGTGATGTTCATAATGTTTATTAGTGTTAAACCTTGATTAGATTATAGTTATAATAGAATTGGTCAGTGATCCTTCTGGTACACAAGGACTTTTTCCTTCTAGCAAATATGAGCTTCAAGGTGACTAAGCAGAGTATGCAGTTAACTCCCTCAGGTACATAAAACCAATTTCCATTTGTCACAGGAATTGAAAATATGAAAATATATATGTGTGTAGTTGTTTGAACTTTAATAAGTATGTTTTTAAAGGCTTAATTTCATTATACCAATTACTCAAGCTATTCAAGTTTTTAAATCATACAAGAACTTTATGAAGATACTTTATGTTTCTGTAGCTTTGGTGATATGAAGACTAAGAAACAGTAGCTATAGGTAGGAGTTGCATTAATAAATATGCAGAAAATCTGCAAGAGGAGAATATGGGCATTTAAAGGTAATTTATTTTGTTAGCATACATGAGGAAAGAGTTTGCTCTAACCATGTTGTTCTCAATTTTGGAGAAATTCTCTTGAATCCCTTTTTATTCATCTACTCAGCAAATATTGATTGAGTGCTTTTACTGGCTGTACTAAAACAAATAAGGTAGGCATAGCCCCTGCCTTTGAAGTAGGAAGGACAGAAACAGAAAGAATAATAGTCACATGTCAGGGCTGTAATAAGTCATAAATGAGATACATTTATCTAATCCTAACACACAACTCTCTCAGGCAAGTTTTATTACCTCCATTTTCAAGGTGAAGGAACTGGGATTAGTGTGGCTGGGACTTGACATCTGACTCCAAAATCAGTGTCTCAAGCCCTTGCATTCCCGCCTCTAAATGACTCAGGCCTATGGCCAGATTAAACTCCTGGAGGACATATGCGTTATTAGTTTCTCTTAATTTATTAAATCAACAGATATTTACTGAGTGTTTTGTTATTTACAAAACTCTGTGCCTTGTAACGAGGGAAGTAAAAATAAATAAGGCCTACTTCATGCCTTTCACCAAATAGTTATACGAAAGGAAGGTAGTGTCATGTTCTTGTTTGTAACCCTGGGTGTGATTAGCCAGTTGGTTATACTTGATGGACTGGCTTTTCCTACGTGCCCCACACTTTCTCCGAGAGTCTTGGGCAGTCAGGCCAGGTTGAACCTGCAAAGCCCACTCCCTTCTGGATTGTTCTGGAATGCCCAGAAGAGCCCACACTGTACTGCAGCTGCTAAAGGGTCTTGCTATAAACATTGGAGCTCCCCAGAGCCCTCCTGCCAAGTAACTGGCCCCAGAGTAGCGGAAACAGTAGCCCAAGATTCTCAGGATTTGCAGCATCGAATTTCTTTGACTTAGGGTCTTTGTCTTTCATGATACACTAGTAACCACCAGCAGTTGCTCATTGAAAAAGACACAAAGTAGAAAACATAAGTTGTATTGACCAGTATCCATCTTGGTGTAACACTAATAGATTTATTATTAGTTAATGAGCCTTTTTTTTCTTTTAGCTTTAAAGTTTTTTTTTATTATTAGGGAGCTGCTTAGAAAGTTATCTTTAATGTATATCATTACACTCAACTGTATCCTTGTGGTTTGAAAAAGCCAATGTCCCCTTCCACTTAGCAGATTGTTAAGTAATAGAGCAGAAGGAAAACCAGGGCAGGTGGCGACAGTAAGTGCCATGGTAGCCAAAGGAAGACTATTTCAAGGAGAGGAATGGCCAGCAGGGTTAAATGTATCAGTCGGGATGATTTAGGCTGAAAGTATAATAACATAAAATGCCCTCTAAAGCCAGATTAAACATTAAAGAAATATATTATCTTACATAACAGAGAGAAAGAGAGCAAGAGTAAAAGAGGCGGGGGTGCTGTTTTCTCTTCCCAGTCATGTTCTTTTCAATCTCAGCCAGTTTGGTTCATAGGCACACCCTGGACCAATGCCAGTCACCAGGGGAAAGCCAGGCTAACCGGCCCAGAGGCTGTCTACCCTCAAAGTCGAGGTCACCGCCTCCCTGAAACACATAAAGAGAAAGTAGAAACCTGAATAAAATCAGGGTTTGGCTGTAAAGGAAGAATGGAAACATAGAAGCTGGGTGGACAGCCAGCAATGAGTGAGGCGAGGGCTGGAGAAGACAGTGGGATTTGGCAACATGGAGATAATTGGTGCCCTTGGGGTAGACGCTTGGTGGTGTGATGGCAGATTGCAGAGGGCTGAGAATTGAATGGGAGGTGAAACATGGATAAGCTGAGTGCAGACAGCTTTTCCAAGAAGTTTTGCTGTGAGGAGGAGAGGGGACTGATGGAAAGAAGAAGGTAAGGTGTTGACTAGTGGCATTTCTTTTAATAATGAGAGAGACTTGAATATTTTAAAAAGTTAATAGAAGGGATCTGATTTAGAGGGAGATGTTGAAAATGGCAAGCGGAAGAAGGAATGATCAGACTTGTTCAGTGTCTGAGAAGGTGGGAGTGGATAAGATCAAAGCACAAGTGGAGGGATTGGCCTTAGCCTGGAAGAGCAACAGGTGGGGGAGAGGAGAGGATGGGTGGAGCCTGCTATCCACTCTTAGCTGGTGAGGTGGGCGTTGCCTTTTACGCCCAAGTGATTTTTGCCATAGACATCCCCGGCTTTCACTCCATCCCTAACTCCAAGTGCAATTATAGGCTACATTTATCTTGTTTGCATTTTTAAAGTTATATCATACTTGTATAACAGGAAAAACAATAATTTTTAATTTCTTGCCTAAGGGACCATCAGTTAGTCCCCTGCACTAAAACCATCACTAAAGAATTTTGCAATATAATATTGTTGAGAAGCTGGGGGAAATATTAGAATTTTAGTTTGAGGATTTCCTGTGAAGTCTAGGGCTGAAAATAATAGATTGTGCTGGGGCCCAAATATTGA